TATATATATATATATATATATATAAATAAGGGAGCGTTCAAATAAAAACCACTCAATTTGTAAAAACCGTGAAAATCTCATTCAACCAATTATAATTTTTCATTTTGTTCATTTTTTTTGTAATTTTGAGAGGTTGATTAACTATTTTTATTGTGGAGGGTGTTAATCATGGATATTATCATCTTCATTATTTTAATTTTAAAGAAATACATGAAACAGTTTCATTAAAGTTTCATTAAATATTATATGAAACAATTTCTTAACCATATGTAAAACAAATTCATCAAAAAAAGTATTATATGAAACAATTTCATGAAAAAAAATTTATAAGATTAAACAATGAAATTGATGTATGAGGGTGGTTTGTACGGTTTTTACAAATGAGGGTGATTTTCATTTAATCGCTCCTCTATATATAGAGTATATTTTAAATGCAACCATGTCCATTTGTACAACCAATGCAACCCAATTAATTGAGATATTTATAGAAATGATGATAGTTTATTTATTATGATTTCAATATTTATGGAAGATGAATATGGTTCATTAATTATGATCAATACTTTATATTTAGTAACAATTAAAACTTCTACTAAATCACATATTCATCAAATTAAATGGACGGTTGAGATTGAGTTGTATTTGTTATACAAATGTAAAAGGTTGTATAATAATCAACCTCTCTCTCTCTCTCTATATATATATATAGGACGGGTAATCAAATGAAAACCATAAAAAAGTTGAGGACCGTGGAGACTAATTTCAATCATTAAAGGTTTTTAATCAAAAGTCATTAAACATGGTTTTTTTTGTAAATGACGATTGTGCCTTTTTGTAAATTAAAAACATCTTTCAATCAAAGCCATAAGATCAAAACCAAATTAAGGCTTAGATCCGTCCTCAACCTTTTTTGGTCTTCACAAGATTAAACCCTTACACACACATATAATATATATATATATATATATATATATATATAGGGGTAAGATCAAATGTTAACCAAAGTTTTTGTGTTAGCTTTGTTAACCGATCTTGGCCATTCAATCTTTCAATAAACGGTTGTGAATAATCATGATTAAAACTTATTTTTTTTAAATTTAAAATTGCATAAAGATAATTGAACAATGTTGAAAAGGGTATTTAGGTAACAAAAATTATGTAACTCCCATATCATTAATTGGGAGTTACAAAATCAAAATTCTATGATTTTTTTGTTAATTTAATTTTTTTAATATAAGAACTATATGAACACAACTATATATATATGAACCATTATGTCAAATACGAACAAAAAATTAACATATATATGAACTTGGACTGCATAGCATTTATAAACACAATATGAACATAATAAAAATAACTATTATACGAAAGAAAATAAATAAAAAAACATGTATGAACATGATATGAACAGCTTGTGAACAATAGTTCCTTCATTATAAACACATTCAGGAGCGATCCTTTGTCAATTGGAATTTTATACATGCATTGCATCCACACTGTTTAAGGTTTACCCCTTGTTCATATATGTTTCTGATCTTATATGGTTGTTCACCTCTTGTTCTTATCGTGTTCACCTCTTGTTCATATCGTATAAAATATATGAACACATAACCCCAACGCTATGAACACCGGGTGCAAACACTTACACAAATATAAAGATTTGGTATCAAGCTTAAAAAATAATATGTGTTCATATGATAGAAGTAGCATGAACACAGTGGTTCATGATTCATAAAAGTCGGTAATATAACAATATGAAAATGGGCCGTGCATATACTTCCATTTGAACATGTGAATTAGATACGTATTTTAATAATTAAAGAAAAAAGATATCAATACAAGATGAGTTATAAAAAACACAACACATCGTAATGAACATAATTTCGATTAAAACGAATCTAAAAAACTAAAAATATATTACCAAGACATTTGCTTTGGTTAATTTCTTCAATTCCCGATCTCGAACTCCGATTGTCATCATAAACAATTTTAATCTTCTCACTGTTGTCGATTTATTTTTATTACGTTTATCTATATTAAATTGATCGATACCGAAAATTCTTACTACCGTGTTTTCTATGCGAATTAAAAACTGATAAAACAATAAACATGGAAGATTAAGATTAAAAAAAATTATTAATATTATAAATGTATATTTTTTGGGATTTGATTATTTGTAACTCCCCATTAACCAAAGTTTTTGTGTTAACTTTGTTAACCGATCTTGGCCATCCAATTTTTCAATAAACGATTGTGATTAATCATGATAAAAACTTATTTTTTTAAATTTAAAATTTCATAAAGATAAGTGAACAAAGTTGAAAAAGGTATTTAGGTAAAAAAAATTATGTAACTCCCATATCATTAATTAATTGGGAGTTACAAAATAAAAAATTCTATGATTTTTTTGTTAATTTATTTTTGTTAATGTAAGAATCATATGAACACAACTATAAATATATGAACTATTGTGTCAAATACGAACAAAAATTTGACATATATATGAATTTGGACTGCATAGCATTTATGAACATAATAAGATTAACTGCTACACGCAAGAAAAAAAACAGGTATGAACACGATATGAACAGCTTGTGAACAATAGTTTCTTCATTATAAACACATTCAGAAGCGATCCCTTGTCAATTGGAGTTTTATACATGCATTGCATCCACACCGTTTAAGGTTCACCCCTTGTTCATATCGTGTTCACCTCTTGTTCATATCGTGTTCACCTCTTGTTCATATCGTGTTCACCCTTGTTCATATCGTATAAAATATATGAACACATAATCCCAACGCTATGAACACCGGGTGCAAACACTTACACAAATATAAAGATTTGGTATCAAGCTTAAAAAATAACACTTGTGTTCATATGATAGAAAGTAACATGAACACAATGGTTCATGATTCATAAAAGCCGGTAATATGACAATACGAAAATGGGTCGTGCATGTACTTCCATTTGAACATGAGAATTAGGTACGTATTTTAATAATTAAAGAAAAAAGCTATCAATACAAGATGAATTATAAGAAACACAACACATCGTAATAAACATAATTTCGATTAAAACAAATATAAAAAAATAAAAAATATATTACCAAGACATTCGCTTTGGTTAATTTTTTCAATTCCCGGCCTTGAACTCTGATTGTCATCATAAACCGTTTTAATCTTCTCACTGTTGTCGATTTATTTTCCATTGCGTTTATCCATATTAGCTTAATCGATACCGGAAATTTTTATTACCGTGTTTTCTATGCGAATTAAATAYTGATAAAATAATGAACATTGAAGATCAATATTATAAAAAATAAAAATATTAATGTTATAAATGCATATTTTTTAGGATTTGATGATTTGTAACTCCCTATTAATTGTTTGGGAGTTACATATCAAATCAATTTACTGAAATACCCTTGTAATTAAAATGTGAACATGACATAAACCTACAAGAAGAATGAAATTTGATTGGTTGCCATGGTTTTCAATGTTAACACAAAATTGTTGGTTAACATTTGATCTTCCCCCTATATATATATTATATATATATATTATTTATATATATATATATATAATTTATATATATATATACACACATATATATACATATAGAGAGAGGTTCATTTGAAAAATGATAAATATTTGAGAAGTAAAGAAATGATCCTAGACCTTCATACGATCAAGATTGGTAAAAAAAATTGCGACTTTGACTGATCAAACAAAAAATAGAGGGGTAGTTTCATAAATTTTACAAATAGACTGCAAACAAGTGCATATATGAACTCATATTTCATATGTGAATCAGTTAATTAATCCATAAGTAAATCACATGTATTCAAATGTGAATCAGTTATATAGTTCATATATGAACATATAGTTCATATGTGAATCACACGAGTTCACATATACACTTGTTATGCACCTTATTTGTAAAGATTATAAAACTAACCCTCTATCTTCCGTATACCATGCGAGAAATTATCCGATGTTTCACATTCAAAGACCCAAATCATGACTACACACACACACACACACACACACACACATATATATATATATATATATATATATATATATATAGGGCTAAGATCAAATGCTAACCATCATTTTTGTGTTAACCTTATTAACTGATCTTGGTCATCCAAATCTATAATCAACGGTTAAGATTAATCAATAAAAAAATTAAATTTTAAAGTTTGAATTTTAATGAGAACTAGTGAACAATGATGAAAGGGGCATTTTGGAAAGAAAAAAAAAAATACACTTATCAAAGGTATTCTAGTAAATTGAATTCATTTATAACCCCCAAACAATTAATGGGGAGTTACAAATAATCAAATCCAAAAAAATATGCATTCATATTATTATTATTATTATTATTTTTTACTATTGATCTCCCATGTTCATTCTTGTATGAATTCCTAAATCGCATAAAAACACGGTAGTAACAATTTTCGGTATTGATCAATTTGAACATAAATGAACCGTGAACACAATTTGAACAAAAATGAACAACCGTGAACACAATTTGAATACAAATGAACCGTGAACACGATATGAACACAAATGAACCGTGAACACGATATGAACACAAATGAACACGATATGTGCAATTTTTGGCCCATATATTCACATACATAGACGTCCCACAAAATTAAGGTAGCATCTGTTAATTTGTGTTCATCTGTTAATTTGTTCAAATTGTGTTCACGGTTCATTTGTGTTCATCTGTTAATTTGTTCAAATTGTGTTCACGGTTCATTTGTGTTCAAATTGTGTTCACCGTTCATTTGTGTTCAAATTGATCAATACCGAAAATCGTTACTACCGTGTTTCTTATGCGATTTAGGAATTCATACAAGAATAAACATGGAAGATCAATAGTAATTTTTTTTTAATAATATGAATGTACATTTTCTGGGATTTGATTGTTTGTAACTCCCCATTAATTGTTTGGGGGTTACAAATGAATTCAATTTACTAGAATACCCTTGTAAAGATAAAATGAACAAGACATAAACCTATAAGAATAATATAATTTGATTGGTTGAAAGGGTTTTTAAAATTAACACAAAAATGATGGTTAACATTTGATCTTCCTCTCATTCATATTACCTATAAGAATATATGGAAAGGTTCATTTTACCTTTCTCTTGTCATTCATATCCTCTCACTAATCCTATCATTAACAAGTCCAACCCAATTTTTTTTTATTCCCATAAAAGTTCATATTTTGACCGAATCTTCTTTCGTATCTTTAAAGTAAAAGTTATATCTTATTTACTATTTTAAAGATTACAATATTAATTGTATTATTAAAATATTTTATAAAATTTTATATTCTAATAAAATTTTAAACAAATTTTATATAAAATGGCATTATCTAACAAACTTTATAAAAAATAGTAATTTCCAACAATTTTTTGTGTAAAATAATAATTCCCAACAATTGAAAAGATTTATGTTTTCTTAGCATTAATTTTTTAGAGAATTCTTTAGATTTATAAATGTTTTTATCTTCTCAACATTCTTTGTCATTTTTTATTTGAGAGAACACAAACATATATATATATATATATATGATTGTGTGAGAATAGGAGTTAAGATGAGAAGTGTAAGAAGAATGTGAACCCTTGATCACTTTTAATCTTACCTCCATCCTATGAAACACGTTTGATATGGAAATTGAGCCGGTATATCTCATTCTTGTTGATCTTCAATTAGAATTGATATAAGGGTGAAGATCATTTCTTACACACCATGACTTCTATTCTCACAGAAACTCAACCACATTTATATAGGTCCAAACGAGAACAATAGCTAAATAAAAAAAAATGAAAACGGCCAAATCATGTGAAAAATCACATGTAATTTAGATTAGCGGTGAATATAAAGGTGTGCGGACGACGTGGCCCACGACCTTAGGTCGCGGCTAAAGTCACGTGAATCACATGTGATTTTAGTGTAAGACAAGTGATTTGAGCGTTTTCTTATTCTCGTATTTAGTTATTGTTCTTATATGAACCTGACACACACACACACACACACACACACACACTCTCTCTCTCTCTCTCTCTCTATCTCTATCTCTCGTGTGAGAAAGAGAGTTAATAGTGAGAAACGTAAGAAGGGATATGGATCCTTGATCACTGTTAATATGTGCCTACACATAACTTGTGCTTCTCACGAGAATTGATCGGTGCATCTTATCTTAAGGTGCATCCAACGGCGGAGATCCCTTCTTTCACTTCTCACGTTAACTCTCATTCTCACCGAAACCCAACCATATATATGGAGGGTGGGGATTAATGCAATAGGCAAAGGATCGTGTGAGAAGGGAAATTATGGTGAGAATCGTAAGAAGAGATCTGAACCCATAACTTCTAATATCATGCTCACCCTTGAATCGCGCTTTAGAAAGAATTGGTCCAAAGTTGGAGATCTCTTGTTATGCTTCTCGCCATAACTTTCCTTCTCACTGGAACCAAACCCTAATGCAATATAAGTATGTGGTATTTAATGTGGTATCTTGATACGTATACAATATATTAGTTAGATTAATGATTTTAATTATATTCGTCAATCATAAGCTAGTTCATTTTCAACTTATTGAAGGACTTGTTTGGTAAGCCATAAACTAAGTTACCAAAGGGCCTTTCGCCTAGCGATATCGTAGCCTTTGACCTTCTAGGAGGTAAGGGATTCAAATCTCACCATAGATGAGGAGGGTGTGTGAGTTTATTTGTTGTATTTATCGTATATAAATGTTATATACTTCAAAATAGGTTGTTGATTTGTCATGTTTAACGAAAAGGAGAGGCGAATCCTGCTGCCAACTGACATAGTAGGATATATTGTTCTAAAGATGGATCAAAATCATGTTTACAAGAGGACCAAAAAGAAACGTCAAATGGCTATCTAACATCAAATCATATATTTATGAAGAATAATATAACAAATTTACATTCACATTAGGATTAGGACTCAGGAGGAGGGTATAAAAGAGCCATAGCTAAAATCCTTGCGATTGGCCAGAATCCGCACCAACATATCTAACACCTCCTTCATATTTGGCCGGAATTGAGGTGCCTCCGCCGTACACCTTATCCCGATCCGAAGCAATTCGCACATTTCCACCGCCCCTTCCGCCGCCCCTGCTGTCGCCAGCAACGATACCGGGATCATTGAATCCACCTTTCTCGACCACTCCACTAGACACTCCTCTCCGCCATCCACCGCCCGCCTCCCTGTTGCTAGCTCCATCACCAACACTCCATAACTGTAAACGTCGCCTTTTGTGGTCGCTTTCCATGTTTGCCCGTACTCCGGTGCCACGTACCCGATCGTTCCCGCCACCATCGTGCTGACGTGGCTATCCCCGACATCCACCACTCTCGCCAGCCCGAAATCAGTGACCCGAGCCTTCCCGTTTTTGTCCAACAACACGTTGTTGGCTTTCACGTCTCGATGAACGATGGCCGGATAACACTCGTGGTGTAGGAACACCAAAGCGTGGGCTACATCGATCGCAACGTCAATCCGTCGCTTCCAATTGAACCCGCTTCGATCGGGAATCACATCTTCTAAAGTCCCGCCTTCCATATACTCGTATACCAATAGTTTTTCCGACCCATACAAGCACCAACCGTACAACGTCACCAGGTTCGGGTGTGGCCAGCCAAACCCATTTCTAGTGAGCACCTCCATTTCGGCTCGAAACTCTCGTTCACCCTCTATACCTTCTCTTAATTTCTTCTTGATCGCAACTTCTCTTCCATCCGGCAATAAACCTCGGTAAACCGTTCCGAAACCACCCCTCCCAATGATTCTTTCGTTCGCAAAGTTCCCGGTGGCTTTCAAGATGTCGGCATGCGTGAATGCCGTTTTGTCCAAACGGATTACTTTTACGGTTTCAGATGACCATGGTGACGAGCAGCCGGAATTCAATGTGAAGTCTTTTCCGGACTTTATTTGGTTCATCAGATATGGAGGTTGATCTACAGGGCTCTTGATCACAAAACAGATTAGGATTGTCATCACTCCGAACACCGTGAAAGCTAGCAGTAGAAACATGAACACCAAAACTGCACTCCATTTTCTGGGTGGTTGTGATCTGCGACCACCGTTTGCAGTTGAGCTGTTTGTTGAATTATCTATAAATGAGGGAAGACTTAACAACGGGTCTCCAAGGAATGACGCTTTCTCAAAGGTAGCCAACTGGCCAATCGCCGGAATCACGCCGGAAATATACGGGTTGTAGGAAACATTGAACTTGCTCAAATCGGTCAAATTGTTCAAGTTGGTCGGAAACGTACCGGAAAAATTGTTGTATGACAAATCAAGATTTCTCAAACACTTGAGATACCCAAGCTGTATCGGAATTCGGCCTGAGAAATTGTTACGAGAAATATTCAACACGACAAGCGGCATTCCCCCAATCTCGGCCGGAAGCGTCCCAGAAAATTCGTTATCCCCCAAATGCACCATCGTGAAATTATCCATTTTTCCGATTTCCGGCGGTATCTGGCCGGATAATCGGTTTCCACTGAGTTGAATATAACCTGATATCTGTCGTGTTCGAATGTTGGATCCCGGGAGGCAAACTTGAAAAATTCCATGTCCTTTGAGAATTGTGTCCCATAAGCTTCTACATTTCTTTCTGTTAAGAAGTGTGTAAACAAAACTGAAAGGTGGATAATTTGCAGGTATCCATCTTCTCATCGCCGAGCACTCACCGGAGCCTGCCATCGGGTTGTTTTCTCTATTAAATAGAAAAGTGGGTGCGGCGTTCCTGCCGATATTAGCTAACTCCGGCGAAATTTGACCGGAAAGTTGATTGTTTGCAAGATTTAACCACAACAAGCTGCTACAATTCCCTAACTGAGGTGGTATTTGACCCGATAAGGAATTGTTGGCAAGCATCAACCACAATAGGGAGCTTAATCGTCCCAAACTTTGAGGGATTGACCCATTTAAATCATTAATTGAAAGATCGAGAGCTTGAAGTCCTCGTAAATTTCCAAATTCAGATGGAATCCTGCCGGAGAAATGGTTGTGAGCAAGAATCAGATACTTCAAACTTGACATCTGAGATATTTCTGGTGGTAATGGACCTGACAGATTGTTGAAACTCAAGTCTAATCGTGAAACGTTCTGCAACCGAAGTATTCCCGATGAATTCAATCCGCCGGTGTATCCATTTGCATGAAGGAGAAGATTTTTCACTTGGGTAAATCGCCCAAAAATCTCTTGTATATCTCCTCCAAAATTATTCCGACTAAGATCCAAGTATTTCAAGATCCTCAATCCCAGTAAAGATTCTGGAATTTCTCTAGAAATGGAGTTGTTACCCAAGAATAGTTGCTCCAGTTTTGTAAGCAATCCAAGCTCTGTCGGAATCTTATCAGAAAAATGGTTCCCAGAGAGGTCCAAGATGGTTAAGTTCTTACAGTTGGAAATCTCTTTCGGGATTCCGCCGGAAAATGTGTTTTCGGAGAGGTCCAGCGCCTCTAAAGTGCAATTTTCCGGGAAAATCCAGGCCGGCAGGCTGTCGTTTAAATTGTTTTCCGACACTGAAAACTCCTTAAACCTATGGAATCCAAACCACAAGTTTCCCGTGAAGAAATTCGAACTCAAATCGACGTATTCCAACTTGGAGCATCCATCCATTGAACTAATTTCTCCGGTGAAATTATTGGTAGAGAGATTGGCAACCACCAAACTGTTGCAAATCCTGGGGAAACTCATCATGATGTCGCCTGATAGCCTGTTGACTGATAAATCAAGAATTTGCAGATTATCGAGTCCGGTGAAATTGAACTGACCGTCGATAATATTGTGCGACAGGTTCAATACTTTGAGGTTCCGGCAACCACCCAAGTCGGCTGGAATGGTGCCATCAATCGTGTTTGCTGAGAGGTCTAGGTAGGCAAGCTGCGTCAAGGCCGAGAAATTCCCAAATAAATTTCCGGCGATGCTGTTTTCAGGGAGTCTGATCTCAGTCACTCGGTCGCCGGAACAAGAAATTCCCGGCCACATGCAGGGCGTCGGTGCTTGGCGGTCCCATTTCTTATAATTTCCTTGATTCACTGTGTTCTTTTGCTCGAGAAATGACTTGAGATTGAGGAGTACTTGCTTGTCGGATTCTAATGAATCTCCAATTGCATCCTTTCCTGCAAAAAATCGCATTAAATTCAATTCGAGCCTGTAAATTCCTTCTGGAATAACTAAATTCATATATGAATAAAAACATAAAATTCACCTGTGAATAAAATGAAGAAGATGATGAATGCAATCCGGTCGGCTGACATGGCGACTATAACATGCTTTTGATGATTCTTCTTCTTCTGCTTCTTCTTTAATGCATAACTGATCAAGAGGTTGTTGTTTTACTCAAAATCAAAATCGATATAAAAAATGAATTGAATTAGAAAAGGTGAAGAGAAGTGTGAATACCAGGAAGAGTATCTATACTATATTATAAAGCATTTGACAAAAAATATTAAAAACTATTTTTTATATATAAAATACTGTTTATTGATAAATATTATTTAAAATTCAAGATTATAAGTAATTGTGTATAAACACAACTTATTAAAGCATTATTTTTGAATTCATGTAACTAAATGCAGATAATCATAATCAAATAAAGTATAAACATCTTATTTTAAAATCTGAAATATAATTAAAATAATTATCGTGTTTTAACAAAATAATTAATTATTATCTTTATAAAAAATTATATTATTAAACCAAATATAAATTATTTCGATATTGTACCTAAATTAAATTATAATAAAAATTTTGAATTAAAAATTGCATAAAAAATAAGAAATTTTAAATTTATTAATTTGATAATAAATCGATATATTTTTGTCAAATTTTTATAATATCTTTAATTTATATTTTATTTAAAAATAAAAATATTATCATTTTTTTTAAATCACATAAGACCATAATATAATATCGATTGAAATAAATAATAAAAAAATATTAAAATCAAAATGTATCTCGCATGCAAATACCCTTGTAATGTATATAATATATTAATCTAATTAAATCAAAGTAATTACAGTTTATAAACGTATTTAATAAAAAAACCATATGTGGCTGAATCACGCCTCATCGAAAATTACCATATTTTGAATTTTTGGTTTTCATATTCTTAATACGACTTGAATGTAATGATTGAAAATTTTTAGGGTAATAAAATCGTTAGATTTAAACTTATAGGACCATATGAACCAAATAACAAAAGTTGAAGGGGTAAAATGGAAATATTGATATGTTTTCATACTGACCGTGGCTGTTAAAATCGGACCCCGACACAGACACCGCGATAGAGACACACACACGCCCGGAGGGATTAGATTTTTTCTCCGGCGGCTCGCCGGACGAGCAAAAATCCGACAAAATCAGAGGTGTACTCAACGTTTATAGTTCATAGCGATGAGGAAGATGATGAAGCAGAAAAGCAGAAAAACCCTAACAAGGTAGAGTCAGGGGAGATATACGCTACGATGCTATGTAAAGAAGATGATGATCCAAATCCAAATGACGACGAATCACTACCTCCTCTCCTCAAGCGCCTGGCAAAAGACTTCGGAGCCGCTGTTGATTCCGACGACGATGGAGAAAGCATATCCGGCACGATGATTGTAAAAACTGGTCGTAGTCGCGTGCAAGCTTCGATAGGGGAGAGGAATCCGATGAAGAAGAAGAAGATGATGATGATGATGATGAAGACGCCAGCGGCTTTGGGACTTTTGTTATGATATCGGAGGAAAGAGAGAGCGAATCAATATCGGGGACAGTGGTGCGGCGGACGAGTATGTATAAATATATGAGAGAGAGAGAGACCAAACCAAACATGGAACATATGCACATACGCCACACTTTGTATACTTTTACTAATTATATTAATCCTTTTTTATTACTATTATATATTATATATATATATATTATATATATATATATATTATATATATATATATATTATATATAAAGTTTGTTTCAAATACAACTCATCACATTTGTATAACTAATGTAACCCAATGAATTGAAATTTTTATAAAAATAATGATAGTTTATTTATTATGATTTAAATATTTATGAAAGATAAATAAGATTCATTAATTATGATCAATACTTTATATTAAGAAACAATCAAAACTTATATGAAATTACATATTCATCAAATTAAATGGACGGTTGAGATTAAGTTATATTGGTTGTACAAATGTAAATGGTTGTATAATAATTCATCTTATTATATATATATATATATATATGTGTGTGTGTGTGTGTGTATATATATTCAGGGGCGGATTTAGCATGTTAAAGGTGGGGGGAAGGGCCCCCATTAAAAAATTAAAAAATGAATTTTTTTTACGATTAAAAATTGTTTTTTTACTTTCTACCATGGTTCTTCTCCGTAATTTCTTGTTAAGGCCCCCACCAACTAAAGAAAGTATCTTGAAATCAACCAAAAAACTGAAAAGTTCTTCGAAATCGATAAGAAAACCTTAAAAAAATCCCTCGAAATAATCCAAAAAAACTTCAAAAATCTCTTGGAATGGTGGAATTAGGCTTAAAACACATCAGACGACTTGGTGGGTGTTTAAGCTACCTTAAAGGTGCCCCCACTAGACCAAAATCTTGGATCCGCCACTGTATATATTGTATGATTAAATTGATGGTTGTTTCTTTTCCATGTTTTTGTAGCATTTGGTGGACGCTTTTTTTCAATTAAAAGTGTAAATATTGTAATAATTTTACAATTTTTTTTAAGGAGCAAATATTGAAGATCATTATTAGGATTGAAATGTTGGTTGTAAAACGACGTTGTTGACTTTCTTGAAGAAAAGGTATATATTACATAATGTTTTACTAAGAGCATCTCCAATCAACCGGTAATTTTAGGGATTTGCTGTTTGTCACCTCTTCAATCGACCGGCAAATGAATTTAGGTTTTGCCGGATCCCTTATTTGAACGGCAAATATGCCGTGGGTTTCTTGAACGGCAAAACCAGGTGGGACCCATTAATTTGTATTACAAACCATTTTTCATTTAATAACTTAGGGGTTGATTGGGTTATTTTAACGTGGGATCCACATATTTAGTGTTTTTTTTAGAGTATGATTGGAGTTGAGTTTTTTTAGTGTTTATGGTCCTACCATATTTGGTGTTTTTGGTGTTTTTTTGGGTGATGAGACTGGAGTTGTTCTGATATCTTATTAATAAACAGTCATATATAAATAATGTTTGATTTTTCTTTTACTTTCATAATATTTTACTGTAAAATTATAAAATATAAAAATATGATCTCATAAAAACAAACCTTTATGTAAAACCATATATATATATATATATATA